CCGGGGATATAAATGGTGTGGTCTGAGCCACACAGACCCATTTGTCACCCCTGGCTGTTGTTTCCCCTTAAGAGCCAACTATGGACAGCCCAGAATTGGGAGGAATGGCTGGTAGGCTTCCTAATCCAGGAGCCAGGTTGGAAGCAGAGAGAAGGTAGTTATTAAAGTGAGACATTCGCAGAGGATTGAATTATTTTCTTTGTTATGTAAACAAAAGGAGTAGAGCTTTGGCTATGAATTTTTTGGTTGGTTATTCTTGCTGCTTTCCTCTGCCAACCTCTTGTGTTAACCTCTCCATGCTCTTTGGATGACAGCCCTTTCCATCCTTGCATATCACATAGCTCCTCAGCAAAGAGCTGGACAGAAACTAGATTACATGAGAGTCTGCACACTGACCAGGGAGCTGCCAAGTCCCTTTCCCCTGCTTGGCAGCCAGAACACTAGCAGCAAGACCCAACCCCCAAGCTGTGAAACTGGAGAAACTGAACAGCTCAAAAGAAGAGATGTCCAGGAACTGACCACTGGGGGGTCGCCCAGTGAAACGGTGAGGTCTGCACCGATCATTCACTCAAGATCATTCATTCAAACACTCAAGAGATATTTATCAAGTGCCTACTATGTGCTAGGCACTTTCTTGATGCTGCAGATACCACAGTAAATAAAACAGACATAAATCCCTGGCCTCAAGGAGCTACATTCTAGTGGTGGAGATAAACAATAAACAAAATAAGTGTAGTACAATATATTAGGTGATAAATGCTATAGAAATAATAAAACAAGGAAGAGGGATAGGGAATGCTGAGTGGGAGTTGAGGGGAAGTTAAATTTTAAATAGGGTAACCTGGGAGACCTTGCTGAGAAGATGACATTTGAACAGAGACTCTGTGGTGAAACCCACCAGTTGATGAACTCAATCCATGCACACAGATTTTCCAACCAGCCTTTCAGTGCCTCATTCTTACCTATTGACAGATAGGCAGATCTTCAGATGTTTAAGGAAGGCCTTTAAATGTAAAACAGAAACAGAAAATAGTAACTCAGGGGAAAGAGAGATAATACAGGAATCAGAAGACAACTTTTAAAAAAGCCCCAACTGTAATTAATATAAGGAGCCTTGGTGGCAAAACAGTTAAGCGCTCAGCTGCTAACCGAAAGGTTGGCAGTTCGAACCTACTCAGTGGCTCTGAGGGAGAAAGACCTGGCAATCTGCTTCCATAAAGATTACCAAGAAAACCCTATGGAGCAGTTCTATTTTGTCATGTGCCATAGCTATGAGTGGGAATCAACACAACGGTACCTAACAACAACAGTTAATATCTTCAGGGAGATAAAAGAAACAATCTGTAAAACAAGAACAAGAAAAAAAGAGAAAGAAACAACTGAGAACAAGAAAGAGCTCTTGGAAATAAAAAATATTACAGTTGGAAAAAACTTAGTAAAAGTTGAAAAAATTACAATAACCTCAGAAATAAGAGAAGGCTGCATCAATGAAACAAAACAATGCTATAAAAAAGGAACATTCAGATAATAATGAAAAGCTATTGGAAATTAAAAACATGATAACCTATCCCTAGCCCATTGCTGCTGAGTTGATTCTGACTCATAGCGACCTTATAGGACAGAGTAGAACCGCCCCATAGGGTTTCCAAGGAGCAGCTAGATTCAAACTGCCAGCCTTGGGGTTAGCAGCGGAGTTCTTAACCACAGTGCCACCAGGGCTCCAAAAACATGATAGCAGGCATTAAAAACTCAGTAGAACGGTGGGAAGATGAAGATGAGTGAATTCCTTAGGGAACAAAGAAAAAAAAAAAAAAAACAGAGAAAACATAAGAAAAATTAAGGGTCAAATCTAGAAGGGTCAATACTGATTACTAGGCATTCCAGAAAAAGAATGCAGAGAAAATGGAGGGGAAGAAATGATCAATAATCCAATAATATTTCCAATAACGGGAGTTGTCAGGTCGAATGGGCCCTCCAGGTGTCCCCAAAATGTATGAAAATAGACCCACACTGAGATACATCATTAAGATGCTTAAGAGCACAAGGGTTAAAGGGAAGATTTTGTAAACTTCTAGAGTGGGGTAGAGTGAAGTAAACAGGTGGGGAACAGTTCAAAGAGGTCATATACAAAGAATCAGGAATCAGAATGACTTCAGACTTAATAGCAACACTGGAGGCAAAAGACAATGAGCAATGCCTTCAAACTTGGGAAGGAAGATGATTCCCAGCTAGAATCTATATCCAGATGAACTATCAACTGGGTATGAGGGTAGAATAAGATCTCTTTAGGCAAGCAAGGTTTCAAAAAGTTTACCTCCCATTCTCTCTATCTCAAAAGCTATAGAGGATATGGTCCTCCAAAACAAGAGAGAAGACTGAAAAAGACACATTTGCTAATTTTCCTTCAATATCCATGCTCCCCTTCTTTCTTTTGGTACAGAGCTCCCTGAGTTTTAGTTGGGCAAGAGGCTTCCTAACCAGAGACAACATTGCCTAGCCTCCCGTGGAGCTGAGCTGAGGCAAAGTTCTGGCCAAGGAGATGTGAACAGAAGTGGTGCATACAACTCCTGGGTGGAGCAATGTCACCTGCCTGCCTCTGGACTGTTAGGAGAGATGAGATTCTGTCATGTTCTTGTCCTTGTTACAGAAGTTTAGCTGGTATTCTAATGTGTGTGGGACACAGGAAACAGGTGATGCAACAAAGGAGAGAGGTCAAAGGAACCCCCAGGAAGACAATGAAGGGATATCCCAGGAAGAGAGCTGTGTACTGTACACAAGACAGAGTAACCAGTCCAGACTGGAGCAGCATAACTACCCATGTTGAGGGCTCTGCTGTAGTTGTACTTTTTTTTTTTTTTAACCTGAGGACAGCATGCCCTAATGAGCCTGAAGCAGATTCTTACCTGTACTGGTCTCATGCTGATGACATTTCTTTTCTCTGTGTTACACACCTGACCAGTTGAGAAGACTCATTTTATAAATCTGCCCCTCCACCCCCTCCAAAAATGGTGTGCTTTGACCTACTCCTGAAAGCTGGAGGTGGGCCATGCTGAGCTTAGAAGCAGAAAATGCAGAGCAGCCTCTCCCATTGACCATATTTCTGGAGGATGCCCAGTACCTAGCTCACACCATAACCTTCCCAACCATGGGGTGCCCTATGTTTCCAACACTCACTCAGGACCACTGCTCTGACCTCCCTGAAAGAGGCTCTGGTAAACTTATCGACCGGGTCTCTGTTCAGCTTATCTTCTCACAGGATTCATCTAATTGTGATAATGTTGCCCTTTCCTTGCACAGCTAGGTTGGTGCTTGCTATTGCTTTTCATAACTAAAATGTATTGTTTAGGGATATTCCAGGGAGTACAACTATAAAAAGAAGCATCAAAATTATTACCAGAAAAAAAAAATGAGCCAGTGGTTTCCTCTGTGGAGAGGAAGAGGGAGACACATGGGCCTTTAATTTATCAGTACCTTAGAGGCACTCTGTATGTATATAGGTGATTTCTTAAACTAGGAGGTAGATACCTGGGTGTTAAGTAGAACTTATGCATTCTATATACTCTTCTGTATGTCTAATATACCTTACAATATTTTAAAGTAGGCTTAAGTGCCCCTATGAAACTGATCAGTGTGTGGTCAGGACTGGGGTTTAGCCAGGGATGGAGCAGGAAAGACTTTTAGTGCTGTGGGGCTTTTTAAACCACATACATATATTGCTTTGATAAAATCAAACTGCTGTTAGAAACTGGGGATAGAAAGATAGTTAAGGTTCTCGCTTTGAGTGTTTCTAAATCTGGCAAGAGACCAATACAGATGATTAACTACGATACTACAGTCTTATGAGGCTTATAAAATACCTATAATTAGAGCACTTCAGGATTATAGAAGGAGCACCAACTTTTCCCCCCCTAGTCAAAAACAGTGACAGAAGAGGGGACGTATAGGGGAGTATGTCTGTAAATCAGGCCTTGAAGAATGAGGAGTTTGAGAGTAGAACAGAGAAGAAAGGGCATCTGAGAAGGAAACATGATGAGCAAGGACACACAAGTGTGAAAGTGCAGGCAAGTGATCCAGGGTGGATCAAGGACTGTGCAGGTTGCACACTGCACAGGAGGTGGCATTGTGTTGTTCAGTGTGCAACCTGCACAATCATCCTCAGCAACCCTGTTTCTCTTATAGGCTAAGACCTATAAGAGAAAGGAAAAGCAGCCAAAAATACATGAGTATTAGGCAGAAAATGAAAAACGGAATACGAAATGGAAAAAGACTATCATCGAACCCTAAACAATTCGGTAGGCTAGTGCTGACATACTACATTCAAATTAATTGTCATTTCAACATTAAATTAAAAAGTAATATCAACTGTTTGTAGTCAATGAGTGACAGTGAAACATGCCTTTGTAATGGCAGGCAACAAATATAAAGCTTTAAATTGGTGTATGTCATGGATTGTGTCCCCAAAAAATACCTGTCAGCTTGGCTGGTTCATGATTCCCAGTGTTGTATGACTGTGTAATGTGATGTGATTTCCTTAGTTGTTGTAAATTCTATCACTGCGATGAGGTTATACTGATGAGGTTGACAAGATTAGTGTCTCAATGCAATCTCTTTTGAGATATAAAAGAGAGAAGTGAGCAGAGACACATAGGAACCTCATACCACCAAGAAAGCAGTGCCGGGAGCAGAGCACGTCCTTTGGACCTGAGGTTCCTGCGCAGAGAAGCTCCCAGACCAAAGGAAGACTGATGACATGGACTTTCCTCCAGAGCTGACGGAGAAAGCGATCCCCTGGAGCTGATGCCCTGAATTTGGACTTGTAGCCTACTGGACTGAGAGAGAATAAATCTCTTTGTAATGCCATCCACTTGTGGTATTTCTGTTGGAGCAGCACCAGATGACTGAGACAGTGTATTTCACACTAATACATTTCATAAGGCCTAGAGAATATGGGAAAGAATTTGACAAAAGTCATTGAATCATCATTTATGCATACTTCTTTATTAGAAATCAACTATTTGTACTAGAGACCACAGAAGGAAATTAAGTTAACCTTGTAATTCTAGAACAGAAAAATTAAACCTCACAGTAAGGAATTAAGTGTCAAAAAAAAAAAAAAAAAAAAGCAAGGGAGAAAGAATCATTCAAGACAGTGTTTCTCAAATTTGGCTCCTTGGCTTCTTCACAGATTTTGTTTTTTTTAGGGGAGGGAGCTGCAAGTCTTCTATAATTTAATTTTGCTGATAACCTAAATCAAATTAATACACATTTGTTCAGGATTATCTAGACAACCATCTTATGCAAGAGTATTGCCACATGATTGCAGCACCTGCATCTGTGCTCTGACCCCTCTGGTACCAAGTGAAGACCAACAGTGCTTAACTTTTCAGGCCGAGTGTCCCACATTGGGTCCTCAGACCCTGAACAGAATTATTGAACACTTCCAATGAGATCTGTGAGTTGTCAGTGTTGAGAACACTGGTTCAGAGTGTTGATTCTCAAGGTGGGGTGTGGTGGGGATGGCAAGGGGGGGATGCACATAGTTTGAAAAAGCACATTCAAAACGCCTATTGATTTCATAGTACAAACTCCATAAGGTCAAGATCAGAGAAATAATTTCAGCTGCTGGGCAGTCACAGAAGACCAAGTACAGACTCATCCTGGGGGGCCAGAGATAAACATGGTTAGAAACACTGGTTTTAGAGGTAGAGGAGTGCCGGCACATGGAGAACACTTTGTAGGAAAAACATGCCAAAAAGGAAGAACACCTTTTGGTCAGTGAGTGAATCCTAAGCCAGGACTCAATCTGGTCTTTTAGAACCCAAAAGGCCAGCCCAGATGAAACCCAAGAGTGTATGGTACATTAACCTTCTTGGCCCTGTTTTTTGGGGCAAGCTGGTCCACTTTTTAATAATGATCCAAAAGAAAAAAGCCATTTTTGCCAAATATCCACCCCCCCCCCTTTTTTTTTTTGGTTAATATATTCCAGAATTTTAAGTAAACAGTTGCTGTAGCCGGGAAAGAATAGTCCCAGATCCATCCACCAGAAAATCTGTCATCATTTGTGATGCCATCCAGCTCCCAAGGGGACATCAGCCAGGGGGCTCTGCCAGGAAAGAAACAAAGAATTAGATTTTCTTGGAAAAGTAGATTCCCCCCATTTCCTTTTCATTACCAGAACAGTTACTCTTGCTGTTTAAACACAATTTATTACATATGGCCTTGAGATGTAGTTGCCAGCAAAATACTGGTAGCATATAATGCTGAAGGGAAAACAAAAAAACACAGACCCAGTTACTGTGGAGCTGATTTTCACCCATGGTGACCCTATGTGTGTCAGAGTAGAACTGTGCTCCATAGGGTTTTCAATGGCTGATGTTTTGGAAGTACATCTCCAGGCCTTTCTCCCGAGGTGCCTCTGGGTGGACTCAAACCTCCAACCTTTCAGTTAGCAGCCAAGTGTTTAACTGTTTGCACCACTCAGTGACTCCACTGAAGGAAAAGAAGACAAATAGAACTTGTGAACGTAGGCAACTCTAATGCCTACCCCAATATAAGGTAGCTGGGGAAATGGTATTTCCTGTTGTCTGAGGAAAGTGATCTGTTTTTTCCTATTTGTAATCTAAACCTAAATTACTAAACGTAGTCCAGAATAGGGAAGTTTGACACAATAGTTAATTGGATTTTGAGTGCTTTAGTGCATTGTGTGATGCCAGAAAGCTAACCCAAACAGAGTGTCCACCTGCTGTGATGATGTTGTAAAATTGTGTTTGGAATTTATACTATTGACTTTATTTCAGGGACTCAGTTGATTTTCTGCCCCCCCCCCTCAGTTTTTTTTAAACTTCTATTGCTATTCTGAGTTTAAAAAAAAAAAAAAAAAAAAAAACCAAACCGTTGCCATCAAGTCAATTCCTACTCATACTCATTGCCCAAAGGGTAAGTTAATATTATTGGGCAATAGACACCCTTCAAGGAACATTTTGATTAAAGAACCATAAATTTATTCCTTAACTAAAGAAACCCTTGGATCTCTTTGCATATGATGTCAGTCGAATTGGCCCATTTAGAAGCTAGCGAGCACTATCAGTGCTGGAGAGCTGGGGTCTGGGGGAGGAAATTAGACCCCAGTTATATCTTCGTTCCTTTCTAAAGAGTCCATCACCTGACAGTTTTACATTCAGCCGATGATCTCCTTTAGGTTAACACTTTTAGAAAACTTTGGGGAGTCAGTTACATTGAGTTGATTTTGCCAGGTGGACACAGGTAAAGCAAAAGTACCTTTATTTTCCATTGCGCTTAAAATGAATCCAGATTGCTTACCCCAGACTAGAAGGCTGGTGTATTCTGGTCTCTGCCCACTTTTCTTACCACCCTTCTGCTTCACTGCGCTTTGCTTGATCTGCTCTTGCTTTCTTTCTGTTCCTTGAACATCCCACACTTGTTTGGCACCTCAGGCCTTTGTATTTGCTATTCTCTCTGTCTGAAAGTTCTTCTGCTTGGTGTTTACCTGGCTTCCTCCTTGTCTACCAGGTCTCAGCTCAACCAGCTGAGAAAGGCTCTCCCTCATTATCTTAGCTAAATTTGCTTCTTTATTCCTTCCATGTTCTATCCCATCATTCTGTTTATTTTTTCAGGAATTATTTGCTTACTCGTTTTTGATCTGCTTCTCTAGAATATAAGTTCCAAGGTTTTTTGTTTTGTTTTTTTCTCATTACTATATTCCCAGTGCCTGGCACAAAGTAGGTGCCCAATAAATATTTGTTAAATGAAGGTTGAGGGAAAGGACTTCTCCCACTGACACAATCCCTTTGTAAAATGTGAAATTCATAAATGATTGACGTAACACTTTCCTAGCCAGAATACCTTCAAGGAGTATACTAAAACATGGCAGTAGAATTCCACTGTCTCCCAGTATTCTGGACTCTGTGTCCCACCTGTTACCTACCTATCCTACCCCTTGCTGTCGGGTCAATTCTGACTTATAGTGTCCCTGTAGGTTAGAGTAGAACTGCCCCATAGGGTTTCCAAGGCTGTAATCTTTACAGAAGCAGACTGCAACATCTTTCTCTCACAGAGTGGCTGGTGGGTTCAAAGCACCGACCTTTTGGTTAGCAGCTGAGCCCTTAATCACTGCACCACCAAGGCTCCTTCCCACCTGTTACTCACCTGTAATTATTGTAGAACCCCCATATCCTCTAGCCTCTTCAACAACTTTCCACTCTGATGCAAAGCTATTAGATCAGAGCATCCACCGATACAATCTTTACCTAGAAAAACCCGAGGTACCTAGAAAAGCAAACAAACCAGCGCATTTAAGGAACTTAATTATTAGTAGATTAGAAAGAATGATCCCACAGGCCCTATTACTCTTGGTCTAGGCTCCCTGTTAAGAGCTAGCCAAAGGAAGGGGCATGGGAAGCCCAAAAAAGGAGTGGGGAAGGGATCACAACTTCAGGATGGATTCCTTCCCTCATTTACTGGGTCAGACACTGCTAGTAGAAAGAATATTTTATCCTTCCTCAGATATTTTCTATGACTCACAGCTTTCAAGTCACTTTACAACCTCCTCATGTTTACCCTTTTAGAACAAATACTGTTTTAAGAGTAAAATTATTCATTAAAGAATTTTTTTAAGCCAGGCTATTTTTCAAATTGAGTATACTGTGCATGAGATTGATCCAACTTGTCAAACTGATTTAAAAATTTCACTCTAGAGGAATAAGTTTCAAGGAAAGAAATTTTGGTTAGCTGCAGCTCAACTGCCCTGATTGAATTCTGATTTCTCTGCAGCTGTGACCACACCTGAGCTCTTAGGCCGAGCCACGAAAATAAAAAAAACAAACCCATTGCCATCGAGTTGATTCTGACTCATAGCAACCCTATAGGACAAAGTACAACCACCCCGTAGGATTTCCAAGGAGCAGCTGGTGGATTTGAACTGCCAACATTTTGGTTAGCAGCCAAGCTCTTAACCACTGTGCCACCAGGGTCACAGCAACCAGGAATTCATTTCTAAACACAATTGGAAAATTACATTAGGTCCCTGTGCCTGAGTTTTAGGTTTGCAGTTTATTATAGTTCTCTCTCGCAGATGTTAAAACACAGGTGAGTTCTGTCGTCAACTAGGGCAAAGGGTGGTGGTCTCTGAATCTTGTTCTTTAATCCCTGGTTCGTCATAAGATGTTTAAATGCTACAGCTCTGGGAACAAGGACATCATTCATCTACTCTGCCTTCACACTTACCGAGGCAAGCCAGACTGATATATCATTACACCTGGTATGTGAGTTCTTCTCCAGTCACACTCAACCCTCCCTCCCTGCTGCTAGGTACAGGCATATTCCAAAATTCCAGTGGGCTTTTAGAATCCTGAGGAGGAGGGAAGTCCCTTCACTGCAGCCCAGACGATTTCTAGGCCCAGGGTGTTACACAAACACTGATAAGCAGTGAAGAAATAAACACAATATAGATCACCCTGACTAATCAGAAGAAAGCAGGTCCTCATCCCCAAAGCTAGGAACGTATCAACGAGGAACACAGCAGAAGGGGTAGGAGAGAAGAAAAGCAGTAAGAATATTTTCAAAGCTTTTGATTTTCCTCAGAAGGCTTAATAATTCAAGTGAATTTTTTAAAGAATGGGAGAGATGAGAAAAAGGGCTGAATTGTTGCAAATAAGTTCTTATAATATTTTTTATTAAGAAGGGAGCCCCAATGGAAAGGGCCTTTAAAAATAAAGGACAAAAATTAAAGAAATCCTGCACCAAATTTCTATAGCTATTTCCTGTGCCCAGAGAGCAGGAAAGAACACCCAGGACTCAGTTCTGAAGCTGGCTGTGTACCGGCGGCGTGTGTGCCCGGTAATGTCACATTTAGTCACAGATACGCTGCCTACCCCACTTGCGCTGTGTGGGAGGCTTTGCAAATGTGAAGCACCATCAACGCATCATTGCTTTTATCAACTTAAAGCTGCAGAAAGATGAGAGTAAGAAACCTCGATTTTCCTCTGGATCGCTGCCATTATTTAAAAAGAAAATAAAGCTCCCCTCCACCAAACTGTTGGAGGCTTTCAGCATCAGTCTTCCCAGAAAGACTTGGTTCTGGTCAGTTGTAACAGTAAGCAAAGCAGAATCCTAACATATTTCCAGTGTAATTTATATAACATCGTTCCTTCTGTTGAAGTCAGTGCCTAATTAAATAAAAATCATCTGAGTTTAAACAAGTAATTTATTCATTCCTAAACTTCCATATTTTCAAAAATAGTTGAGCAATTGTCGCTACTTCTAAGGCTTGTCACATCTTCACTTTTAACCATGTCTGAGCAGTTCACACTTAAGTTGTGTGGATGCCCTGAGGGGCAGCATCCTCTCCTGAATCAGTGGTTCTCAAACTTGAGAGTGCATCAGAATCACCTGAGGGGCTGTTAACACAGGGACTTCTGCCCCCTCCCCCAACCTCCTAGAAGGATTAGGGCCCAAGAATTTGCATTTCTATCTAGTTCCCAGGTGATGCTGAAGCTGCTGGTCAAAGGGATCATACTTGCCAACCACTGGCTTCGATTATTGTTGTTGGGTGTCATGGAGTCAATTTTGACTCATAGCAACCCCATATGACAGAGTAGAACTGCCCCATAAGTTCTTTGTTGTCATCTTTACAGAAGCAGATCGCCAGGTCTTTCTCCCATGGAGCCGCTGGGTGGGTTTGAACCGCCAACTTTTCTGTTAGCAGCTGAGCGTTTAACTGTGGTGCCATCAGGGCTCCTTGGTTTAGATTGAGCAGCAATTTATTCCTCCCAGGATAGCTGAGGCTTTAAAAACCCACAGCCTGACAACGACCCCCAGCTGCCCTGTGACAGGCCCTGAAACACGACTAGGCCATCTCCAGGGCAGAGTTTTGTGCACACCGTCTGGTAGAGAAGCTGGCTTGCCTGAGAGATGAAAGGCCCCTCTGCCCTCACAGCCACCCACTAGGCTGGGAACAGCAAAACCACCTTAGAGCACACAAGTTACTGCCACCCCTCCAGGGAGCTGAACTACAAGCTGCTGCGCAGGACAGTGCAGGGGCCGTTTTGAAACAGGAAACACAGAGGCCCTGCTGATTCAGCTGGAAGCAGAAGAAAAATGCCCTCCACTGCCCCCCGCTCCTGGAGGAACTTGAGAGCCTATTACTGTCAGTGAGAGGAAAGACACCAGCTACCGCAAACACGAGTTGAGTAATATTGGGCCCTTAGTCTCCTGGAGTAGGCTAGGCAACGTCCTCAGCACTCCAGGGTTACTCAGATGCAGCTACCCAAGGCTAGTTCCCAAAACTTCTCACCGCCTCCTTGGCTGCCTCCCTGGTACAAGCTACTGTAATTTTCACCTGGATTACTGCTGTAGCCTCCATGTCTCCCAGCTGCCACCCTCGCCCTGGCCCTCCAGCAAAACCACCTTAAAGCACACAGGAGACAGGAAACACAGGCACTGTTGATTCAGCTGGAGAAAGAAGAAATATACTCTCTACTACCCCCCACCCCCGGAGGGAAGTGCCTGTTACTGTCAATGAGGAAAGAGAACTGCCACCACAAACACAAGTTGTCTTCCCCCCCAGCAGAGTGGAGAGTGACCTTTTTAAAATGTAAGTCAGGTCAGGTCACTCCTCTACTCAAAACCCTTTGGTGGCATCTCATACCGAGAACAAGCCAAAGTTCTTAAAATAGCTTGAAAGGCCCTTCCAATTTAGCCCCATTACTTCTCAGGCCTCATCTCCTCCTACTCTCCCACTCTCTCACCATACTCCAGCTGCACCAACCTCCTTTGCACTTGCTATTACCTCTACCCTTAAATTCCTGCATGCCTTGCTCCTTCACCTCCTTTATGGATCTACTGCAGTGTCGACTTCTTAGTGAGGCACTGATGGCTCCATTTGTAATTTCACCCTGCTGCCTACCCTCTACCTCTCCTCTTTCCTACTTAGTCTCCTTAGCACAATATCACTTCCACCTTCCAACATACTGTTTTATTTATTGTTCATCTCCCCCAGTAGAATGCAAGTTCCATGAAGGCAGACATTTTTGTCTGTTTTCTTCACAGCTATGTTCCCACCAGAGGAGTGCCTGGTACACGATGTTGTTGTTGTATGCCGTTGAGTAGATTCTGACTCATAGCGACTGTCTTAAGTCATCTAGTGCTGCTCTAATAGAAATATCACAAGTGGATGACTTTCACAAAGAGAAATTTATTTTCTCACAGTCTAGTAGGCTAGAAGTCCAAATTCAGGGCGTCAGCTCCAGGGGAAGGCTTTCTCTCTCTGTCGGCTCTGGAGAAAGGTCCTCGTCATCATCAGTCTTCCCCCAGACTAGGAGATTGTCTGCGCAGGAATCTCAGGTCCAAAGGACACGCTCTGCTCCTGGTGCTTCTTTCTTGGTGGTATGAGGTCCCCCTTCTCTGCTTGCTTCCCTTTCATCTCCTGTAAGGTAAAAGGTGGTGCAGGCCACACTCTAGGTAAACTCCCTTTTGGATAAGGGATGTGACCTGGGTAAGGGTGGTGTTACAATCCCACCCTAATCCTCTTTAACATAAAATTACAATCACAAAATGGAGGCCAACCACACAATTCTGGGAATCATGGCCCAGCCAAACTGATATATACATTTTCTGGGAGACATATTTCAAACCATGACAGCAACCCCATGTGACAGAATAGAACTGCCCCATAGGTTTTGTTTTTGGCTATAATCTTTACAGAAGCAGATCGCCAGGTCTTTCTTTCTACCATGGAGCTGCTGAGTGGGTTCAAACTGCCAACGTTTCAGTCAACAGTTGAGCACTTAACCATCGCGCCACCAGGGTTCCTTCCTGTACATACCTGCTGCCATCGAGTCAATTCCTACTCACAGTGACCCTGTAGGACTTTGTAGAACTGCCCGATAGGGTTTTCTGGGTTGTAAACCTTTACAGAAGTAGACTGCCACATCTTTCTCCCATGGAGAGGCTGGTGGGTTCAAACTGCCAACGTTTTGGTTAGCAGCTGAGCACTTTAACCACTACACCACCAGGGCTTCTTGTAATCTGAATAAGCCATAGGGTGGCTATGAGTTGGAACTGAGTCCCCAGCACCTACGTTTAACAGAATGAAACACTGCCTGCTCCTGCGACATCCTCACAATCATCATTATGCTTGAGCCCATTATTGCAGCCACTGTGTTAATCCATCTCGTCGAGGGTCCTCTTTTTTGCTGACCCTCTACTTTACTGGGCATGATGTCTTTCTCCAGGGACTGGTCCGTCCTGATAACATGTCCAAAGTCTTGCCATCCTCACTTCTAAGGGGCATTCTGGCTGTACTTCTTCCAAGACAGTTTTGTCCTTTCTTCTGGGAGTCCATGGTATAGTCAATATTCTTCGTCAACATCAGAATTCAAATGTATCAATTCTTCTTCAGTCTTTCATATGTGTATGAGGTGACTGAAAATACTATGGCTTGGGTCAGGCACACCTTAGTCCTCAAGGTGACATCTTTGCTTTTTAACACTGTAAAGAGTTTAAACACTTTGCAAATTTGCCCAATGCGGTGCATCATTTGATTTCTTGACTGCTGCTTTCATGGCCATTGAATGTGGAGACAAGTAAAATGAAATCCTTGACAACTTCAATCTTTTCTTTATCATGATGTTGCTTATTGGTCCAGTTGTGAGGAGTTGTTTTCTTTATATTGAGGTATAATCCATACTGAAGGCTGTAGTCTTTGATCTTCATTAGTAAGTGCTTCAAGTCCTCTTCACTTTCAGCAAGGAAGGTTGTGTCATCTGCATATCGCAGGTTGTTAATGAGGCTTCCTCCAATCCTGATGCTATGTTCTTCTTCATATAGTCCAATTTCTCAGATTTACTCATTATATAGACTGAATAAGTATGGTGAAAGAACACCACCCCGAAGCACACCTTTCCAGATGTTTAAGCCACACAGTATCCCCTTGTTCTGTTCAAATGACTACCTCTTGGTCTATATACAGGTTCCACATGAGCACAATTAAGTGTTCTGGAATTCCCATTCTTCCCAATGCTATCCGTAATTTGTCATGATCCACACAGTCGAATGCTTTTGCATAGTCAATGAAATGCAGGTAAACATCTTTCTGGAATTTTCTGCTTACAGAGAATACCTTACACAGTCCTTACATAAAAACCAAAAACAAACCAAACCCATGGCCATCGAGTCAATTCTGACTCATAGCAACCCTACAGGACAGACTAGTACAGCCCCATAGGGTTTCAAAGGAGCGGCTGGTGGATTCAAACTGCTGACCTTTTGGTTAGCAGCGAAGCTCTTAACCACTGCACCACCAGGGCTCCAGTCCTTACATAGTAGGTACTTAAAAATATTTGTTGAATGAATGCATGAAGAGGATTGTCTTTCCTGCTGAAGAACAGAATGCTGCCAGGTTGACAGCACAGGCTCCCAAACTTTGTTGCAAATCAGGATCACCTGAGGATCTTTAAAAATTGCTGATACCTGGCTCCTGCCTCCAGACATTCTAATTTAATTGGTACAGGTGTGACTTGGCCATCAGATTTTTTTAAACGTTCCCCAGGTGATTCGAACGTGAAGCAAAGTTTGAGAACCATCAGCTAAGAGGGACATATGGTGCAAGCCACAAGGAGGCCATGGCGGTAACTGCATTGCACTCTCTCTCTCAGGACCTGGGTTAGGCAGTAGGGGCCTCCTTGTCACTGTGTCTTCTGCTCCAGGACCTAGCAGAGACTAGAGTTTTCAGTTCATAGCTGGGGTGCTGGCAGCAATAAGGTAACACATTTAGCCCCACTCTCTACCAAAATGCTGACTTCGGATTGGGAAGGAGGGGAGAAACAACCTAATACTCAGAACCTAGAGAAAACCCTGAAGGTTTAGTCAAACTAAAACAGAAACAGGATATGTGCTTCTGCAAACACTATGTTCTAGAATGTCCATCCTGAAAGGGAACATAGGAGAGCTGGTGGGACATCTCTCGCCCCACTCATTACCAGAACAGATTCAGGTGACTGGCTGACTAAGCCTCCCACCAGAAACTGTGATCTCTGAGGAAGTCTTTTCAGATAGAGGAGAGCAGTTCTTAGGAGGCCCCATGGTCCACTTGTAGCAAAAGAGACACAGGTCACTTGTTCTTATCTGGTCTTGCAGCTGAGGTCCCCGAGGATCACACAGCAAACCACTATGAGAAGCCAGAACCCAGAGTCCTCCTTTCCTCCATGACTGGCCTAGAAACATCCCATAATTAAGCAAGGGGCAAATAATGCCTATTTGATTTTTTCCAGTGGGAAGAGTTAGGCAAGATCAGAATGGGCAAATTAGTTATGATTAAAGGAAGCCCGAAGGAAAGACTGAAGGTCAGCAAGTCCCACTTGGCCATGTAAACACAGAAGGAATTGGCACATGACTCCTTTGTTGAGAAGCAGAAATGTACAGACCACCTCAGGCCCTTCTGCCGCCACCTCCCACCCCTAGCCACGCAAGCCGAAAACTGTCATTTCCTGGCAGTGCTTGAACAAGGACTCCACATAACTCCCGAGATGACTCCCGACAAGCTGCAGGGTCCACTGGCCCTGGGCACACATCAGCTGTGCCCCTCCTGATTTGTGAGGGCTGCTGGCTACAATCCAGCCACCCCCTCAAGAGAGTAGTCTTCTCTCAGATGCCCTCCCCCACTGCACACAGCCCTCCCAACGCCTGGGGAGACAGTGCCCTAGCCTTGTCCTAGAGAAAGCCACAGGAGTCCCCATTCACAATCCTGACAAGAAAACAATCTGGAGGCTTTTCCCCTGTCTTTTAAGACGGAACCCCAGACTCACTGTTCTTGCTCCTGTGAGCTGTTGGAGATAATCCTGAATCGCACTTATGTTGTTGGTGGCTGTGATATCGACAAATTCCACGAGCCCTTGTTTGAAAGGCAATTGAAAGAGGATCTCTTCGGTCTTTTTGCAGTAGGGGCAGGTGGGCTTGATGAACACAACCACCTTCCCAGGGTGGATTCTGCTGTTCACAAACTCTTGAGCCATGCTGACAAGCTGCTATCTCCCCAGGAGGGCCCCCTCAATTGCAGGTATAGCTCTGAGTGTAAACCGGCAGCCTAGATAGCTGGCTCTCCTTTAAAGGAACCTCCCTGGAGGAGGAGTTTGCTTGGTAGCATGCTTAGTTTTAAAGGAGCAGCCCCAAAGTCATTTCAGTCTGGTGTGACTCACTACGTGGACTGGACGTGCTATGAATGCATGCTTGCTATTTAGTCACCAACAGCTCTTCCCAGGGAGTTGGCGCTGTTATCAGACCTGACCTTTGGCAGAGGTTAGAATTAAGTCACCCTCTGGGGAAGCATAAAGTACATAGACCAGACTCAGGAGGGGGCTGAGGAGACAAGTGATCTTTTAAAGTAAAATATATATTCTTTCCCCTTTCAGGAACACAATTTTTAATTTTTTTATTGTTCTTTAGATGAAGATTTACAGAGCAAATTAGTTTCTCATTAAGCAATTAATGCACATATTGTTTTGTGACATTGGTTGCCAACCCCACGGCAGGTCAACACTCTCTCCTTCTCGACCTTGAGTTCCCCATTACCAGCTTTCCTGTCCCCTCCTGCCTTCTCATCCTTGCCCCTGGGCTGGTGCGCCCATTTAGTCTCATTTTGTTTTATGGGCCTGTCTAATCTTTGGCTGAAGGGTGAACCTCAGGAGTGACTTCAGTACTGAGTTAAAAGGGTGTCCAAGGGCCATACTCTCAGGGCTTCTCCAGTCTCTGTCAGACCAGAAAGTCTGGTCAGAGACACAATTTTTAAAACACAGACACAAACAGAATCATTCAAGAAACAGGTTTTGAAATTTCTGTGTGAAGTGGGTGTTGTTGTTGTTTTAATGGAATTTGTTCACGACGTTTAAAAATCTGGACATTTCACCAAAGAATCTGGACTTGCAACTTCTCTGAAAAATCAGGTCTGACAACCGATATTGGTGAGCTTGCACAACATCGTTGGTGTAATTGATAGTACTGAATTGTACACATGAAAAAATGTTGAATCGGCGAATGTTGTGTTATATATATATTTTCAACAACAACCAAACAAAAAACCAAACCCATTGCCGTTGAGTTGATTCCGACTCATAGCCACCCTGTAGGACAGAGTAGAACTGCCCCATAGGGTTTCCAAGGAGCGGCTGATGGATTCAAACTGCTAACCTTTTGGTTAGCGGCCGAACTCTTAACCACAAAGAAAAGAATAGTTTTAAAACTTGGATTCTTTTGTGGCAACATCTGGAGCTGAGTAACCAGTGTTCCTTTAGGACAAGGCAGACAGCTCCAGTTTGCTGGGGGCCCCACCCACCTGGCTGGCCTTTCGCTTTGAGATACTGCTTCACCCTCTAAGCATTTCAGTTTGTAACGCTTGAACAGCAGTTTTGTATGGAAGCAAATGCCAACACAGCCCCTCTGTTATCACTATTTGTGAGTGGAAGTAGTGTAAAAACTCAGCTATCATATTCAACTTTTTCCCTACCTTCTCGAAACCGCATCATGCTGGGTTTTTTTTTTTTTTTTTTTTTTTTAAAATAGGACAAGAGGCAGGGGCTGTAGGACTAGAAAATCTGATGCTCTTCCCCATGGTGCCCATTTTCCCTAATAGTGGAGCAAAGTCTTCTCTTCTTAGGTCTGATCCTCACCCCTCCTGTGTGGGCTAAGTCAAATGAACAATTAAATCAAGGAAAAACCATTTCCTTTAAAAGTAAATCACCTTTTTTTTTCCCCTATGAAGTTTTATTTTGAAACTAGAGTACCTTCAGAGAGGCAGGGCAGGACCAGAGCTGGACACCACCATTGTCATGTCAATGGAGTCCCAAGCATGATGTGATATCGAGAAGGTTAAAAAAATTGACTCCAGAAGCAGCTTTTTATTGTGATTCTAAGTGTTACTAAAATTAAAATGGCAGTACAGGAAACCCAGAATCTGAGCCACAGAGAAAGAATTAAGTGAGAGCTCTGTCAATGAGAAGAATGTGTCAGGGCTGAGAAGTTGGAGGCAACTTGTTAGGGATTGTGGCTGCTTGACCCAGAGCTTCACTTCCCTCCTGAATAACCCAGTGGCAGAGTCTGTGTCTCTTCTCTCCTTTTTATTCCTTCAGCTCAGACTCCTGTAGCTAGTCTCCTCACTGACCGCAGGGCTGCCCACTTGTATTTACATGGCCCATCGTTCGAGGATGGCAAGACTTTGACTTGCTTATTTTGGACGTGTCATCAGGAAAGACCAATTGCTAGAAAAGGACATCATGTTTGGTAAAGTAGAGGGTCAGTAAAAACAAAGGAAACCCCCAGTAATATAGATTGATACAATAATTGAAACAATGGACTCAAACATACCAACAATCATGAAGATGGCACAGGACCAGGCAATGTTTTATTCAGTTATACAGAAGACAACCATGAATCGGAGCTTACTTGACAGTAACTAACAATACAACAACAACATGGTTCATCAGCACACCTTGTACCTGGCTACTCCCCCAGAGCATTTTTCTTCTCAGGGTCTGGCATTAGCCTCTCTCTCTCCGTTGACTCTTTCCCCTAATATGTAATCATGTTCAAGTCTCTCCCATGTTGAAAACCACCACCACTACTACCACCACCATCACCACCATCTTTCATCTCCTTTGATCTTGCTTTCCTACCTCTGTCATTTCCTTAACAGCCATGCTTCATAAAACCTGCTGTTGGCTTTGCTATCTGTACTTTACACGTAAACTCCCTGTCTCTTTGCAGTCTGACCTTAGTATCTACCATTCTCCTGAAACTCCTTTGGCCAACATCAGCCATGACCTCTAAACTGCTAAATCATATTGTAGCTAGCTGTCCTGATAGAGCCTAATACAGAAGTCTGGGTGTGGAGTTTTTGATAAAAGTGGTGGGGTGAAATTCCCAAAGGAGCTGTTTTGCATAGGGCTACCTGAGGGTTAGGGAGCGTAGTAGTTTGGTACCTGGGATACAGGGGGACTATATTGTCTGCTCCACAGCTCAGCCTCAGGGACTGGTGCCAGAGGCCTCAGATTAGATGGCCACAGGCCACAAGCTGAAGGAGGCATTTTCATTAGGGACTATGTGAGACATGGGCCATGAACAGATGGCACAAAGGGGGTGTTCTCCTCGTCTGGAGCAAGGGAGAATGAAGAATACCAGAGACACAAGGGAAAGATTAGTCCAAAGGACTAGTGGACCACAACTACCACAGCCTCCACCAGACTGAGTCCAGCACAGCTAGGTGATGCCTGGCTGCTACCATCAACTGCTCTGACAGGGATCACAATAGAGGGTCCTGGGCAGAGCTGGAGAAAAAATGTAGAACAAAATTCTAACTCACAGAAAAAGACCAGACTTACTGGTCTGTCAGAGACTGGAGAAGCCCCAAGAGTATGGCCCCCAGACACCCTTTTAACTCAGTACTGAAGTCCTCCTGAGGTTCACCCTTCAGCCAAAGATTAGATAGGCCCATAAAACAAAATGAGACTAAATGGGCACACCAGCCCAGGGGCAAGGATGAGAAGGCAGGAGAGGATAGGAAAGCTGGTAATGAGGAACCCAAGGTCGAGAAGGAGAGAGTGTTGACCTGCCGTGAGGTTGGCAACCAATGTCAGAAAACAATATGTGTGTTAATTGTTTAGTGAGAAACTAGTTTGCTCTGTAAACCTTCATCTAAAGTACAATAAAAAAGGGGTGTTCTCCCCATTTCTTGGGAAATGATGTGGCTTCAGCTCCATGAAGAATTCAGAGAATAGAATACTCTGCTGCTTTGGCTCCATGAAGGTTTGTAGTTTTGGCACATTAAGAGATGGGACCAGCATGGATCCACAGTGGTGGCTGTAGAGAGAGCAAATCCTCAAGTGGCTGTGGACATCAAGAGGGGGTGGGTATAAGGAAGAGCATAAAAGGAATCTTCTTGAGCTTGTGTGAGATACCCCCAGCCACTCCCAGAAATACTTAGTGGGCAGTGAGGGTATTTTTTGGTGGAGTGGAGGTCCTGATATGCAGATGGTTGGCAATAAGCTAGCAATACATGTGAAATTTGAGCTATTCATGTGATCTCACTTGTACCCATAGGCTGATAAAGTCTGGAGAAATTTGACCACAAATGAACTTTTTTTTCTGTCAGTCTTTACTCTCACTTGCCCACTTTGCAGGATCTGACTCTGTAGATCATTGTCCCTAGAAGTTGCATTTGCAACGTGGTCTTTCTTTCTTCTTCTATATCTGGGTATTCTGTGTCAGCCTTTCTCACAAGAATTTGCCTACACATGTGGTGTACCCTGGGGCTTGAGCCTCTTCTCACTCTGCACATACCTCCTTGAAAGATTTTATCTCCACACATGACTCCACCCATTACCTTCTTGCTGAAGAATACCACATTTATTTTTCTCATCGGGACTTCTCTCCTCAACCTCAGGAAATGATATCTAATTGCCTACTGAGAAGATCCACCTGGAGATTTCTCAGGCAGCTCAGTCTTAACATGACTAAAACTGAAGCTACACTCCTCTCTCTTCCGTACTTGCTTACCCTCTGC